TTTTTTTCTTACAAAATAAAGTATTAAGTGATAGTTTAAGGATTCCTTGAATGGCCATAATCTCCAGGCAGTTGCATGTTAGCTTGCCTGACATCAACCAGTACCATTGTAAAAGCAAATTTTTCAACTGTGCCCATCTTTTTAATAGTATGACAGTAGACCTTTTAGGTGTATCCACAAAGGACAGTTCACAAAGGTTGACTTAATATATTGTCTATCTGCAGGTAGCTTTGTTTTGTGTGTCTGTGTGTGAGACACTGTTAGCCACATTGTTTGCTCACAGAGCCAAAAGGGTGAAAAAGCTTTTGATTAAAAAGAGCTGAAACAGATGGGGGAAGATGGGAAGATAAAGACAGAAATGAGAACGGGAGAGATTGAAAGAGGAGGATCTAGAGAGATGGAGTGATATGCAGCAAGGCTTAGACTGATAAGAGCACTGAGCGAGGAAGGCAGCAGATAAGAGAAGAACTATTGGATGAAAGAACAGGAGGAATCAAAGATATGCCAGGAGCTTTTATAAAACGTACTGTGGTTCTGCCACTGTGAGGAATAGAAATTATATTCTTGGTTTCACAGAGTTGCATGGTTTGACAAAATAATGCTTTTGGCAGAAGCATAATGTTGCATGTATGAAGGGTCTGGTGGTCTATTTCTTCAAAAGCTTACCCATGACGCTGACTGCTAGCATGACCATTCTTTACAAGCAATATCTCAATTTTTCAAACTTATTTTACGCTGTGTGTTCATCTGCATGTTAATATGTGTGAAGGTTAGGGCTGTATGATTATGGCAGAAACCATAATCATGATTATTTTGGTCAGTATTGATCATGATTATTTAATATGATTAGTCATTAACTTTGAAAAGTAGCTGTCCCTGGTAGGCTAGTGGTTAAGCACTCTCGCCACTGCGGCCCAGGTTTGAGTCAGGGTTGCGTCAGGAAGGGCATTCAGCGTAAAACACGTGCCAAATGTCAACATGCAAGTCGTCAGTGTGACGAACCACTGCAGCGACCCCTAAACGGGAAAAGCCGAAAGTGACTTTCTTAGTCATTAACTTTGAAAGCTGTGCATGTACTGAAATGGAAAAAAGTGTATTGTAACAGGGAGTTTTCTTGTACATTAAAAATACAATTCTACTGAAAAAGAAAGTAGTTCATCTACCTAATTGAGATTAACATTAAAGGTTTGCTACTTCAAGTTAACAATAGAGATTATGACTACCTCACACTGTGTTGAATGTTGGGATGGAGGTGCCATTTTTGGAGGCAAGCACTGTATTTTTCTGCATACATTCTTGTTTTGTTTGGCTGGTGGATGACAGACTGAGTCTCTGCAAGTTTATGCTTGTTTAGTGGGTTGTTTGACAAATGTCATTGACTTCAGTCACTGAAGTTTTATTGCATGTACAGAAACAGGCTTAGGCGTTAACTCAAGTAATGTTTTACTTTCCTTGATGTGAACATAATATGCTCGTGCGCTAAATTTATAACACAAGACAAAACGAGAACATCATTGCAAAGCAGAGTGTGCCCCAATAATTGTCATTTATTTTGTTTTCATAAATATTGGAAGCCAACATCATAATTGAAAATAAAATTCAATTAATCACACAGGCATAGTACAAGTGTGAATACATAATGATATAAATTAATATCATTATATAACTTTAGTGAATCTTAAAATCAACAGAATTGAAAAAAAAAACAATGCACCTAGATCTTTGGTGCATTTCACACATTCCTTTGTAGGCTCAGAGAGGTGTGCAACACACACAACAAGTTCACATTTCTATAGCAACGTAACATGCGTAGATGAAAACAAAGCCACTGTGGCGCTGGTGTCAGCACTATCTGTAAGAGATTTTGACTTAACAAAAAATTGCAGTTTAGGCTATGACACAAGGTTCCATAATTGGTTATATTAAGGAAATTAATAAACAGGCCATAATGTTAACCCTTGACAGTTTTGAGTTTGATATTTTTCATCCCTTGTGGAGATTTTACATTGACTTGCATTCCTTTCCTGGAGACTAGCCCTTCAGCCCATCAGTACTTGCCTAAGTCTAACTCTTACTCTAAAATTCACAGGTTTACCTGGCTGGGACAAAGCCAGGTCCCCACAATGTGAGTGTGTAAATAGGTTTTGTTCCCCACAATATGAGTAATACCAAGCACATATGCACACGTATGTGTAGTAGGTTTTGTCGCATCTAGGTCATCTGCTTTTTTCAGCAGACTTGATAAGCTGTTCGGAGCAGGAAGGCCGAGTAGTGTTTACTTTGTTTGTGTGTGTTTACATGTGTATTTTTGTGTTTCCTCTTCTACAAATGCATTTCCTGTCTCACCTCATCCTGCACCCTTAAAGCTCTTTAATGCACACAAAGGCACACATCAATGGCAGGCGAACTGAATGAGCAAAATGCAAACAAACACAAGACACAAAACCTTGGGGGGAATTCCTCAAAGTGAGCTAAAGCATTCCGTCCGAGCATACACATACTCACCCAAGGGCATGGTCACAACGTGGGTGAGTGAAAGCTACTGAGCCCGTCACTCAAGAACAGAAACGCATCTAATCAGCAACAGTCAATTAATAGAACTAAGCTCTCGTATTCCACACTAGTTGACTGTAAATGCTTAAACACAGCAACACACTTAGGATAACTTCTGTCACTGTAAGAGTGTATGAGGGAAATTAAAGAGCTTCAGCATCAACCAGCCTCAGTAGAAGATATCACAGTGCACCATAGTCTTTGTGCTAGTAAAGATCATCAAACGAATTCACTTTGATCAAGTCAGTCTGAGTTGAAATAATCAGAACATAAAGATGACTTTTAATAGCTGTGTCAGGGGGATCCTCAGTGAACAGCAGCCACTTTCTCACCGAGTGAACTCTTTTGAGTGACTGAAACACTGAAAATGTTCAACAGCTGAATAAATCTGCCAAGCTTCCAACTTAGTTACTGCCAACAAAGAAGCACGTTTTCAGGCCCGTCTCTAATGGCAGAAACTTGTTTCCAAAATCATTACAGGGAATTCCCAAATTTTAGATTATTTTGACTTGACAGGCAAGTGTAGACGGCTCAGGGACATCTGCAACAGCATGTCAGGGTTTTTTTTTTTTATTTGACAAAAAAAAAAAATGTAATCAAAAGAAAAACTGACATGCTGTGTAAACTAAACTAGAATTAATAATTTGCAGTTGTATGCCTCCACCAACCAGTCACATTCATGGATATGGGACAGAAGTGAGGTCACTGACCTTGGCCTTTGACTACTAAAAGCTAACCCGTTCATCCTCGAGTCCAAATCGACACTTGTGCCAAATCTGTAGAAATTCCCTCAAGGTGTTCCTGACATATCATGTTCACAAAAATCATATGGTCAGATGGACAACCTGAAAACATAATACATCCAGCTGTGGCTATCCCTTCTCTGAAGAGTACAGGGTGGGCCACAGAAAAGTAGCCTGCCTCCAGTGTTAGGAGCTAGGTACTTAGGGCTCCAAGGTACTTTTCCGTGGCCCACCCTGTATAACATGAACCAAGACTGAATAAGAATTCGTAGCAACATACTGTACTCATAAAAATAAAGAGGAGACTCTCTAGAACCCTAAAATGTAGATAAAAAAAACTATTGGAACAAGTAATAAAAACTCCTATTTCTACAGTAATGTAACAGCATATTGGTGCATTGTGGTCTTACATACTTTTTCTTCTCCCATTCAGTGAGAGAATAGAGGCTTTTTATCCTGCTGGTATTCTGAGCCTTGACTAAACAATTTATGCAGCTGTTGTTTTTTAATAATATTAACTTATTATTTTAATTATTATTAAGAAGCCACTTCTTTGTCTTCACTCTTTGCTTTTCTTGCCTGTCTGCTCTGTCTCAGTACAGCTACAGCTCGGCTGTCACTCTGTGGGATGGCTATTCCGATGTTGCATACTAGCCTTACCTACACACATGTGACTGGAGAAGACTCAAACTGTTTCAAAGCTGACAGGCTGCAGTCCACGAGTGTGGATGCTATGCAAAGTTTTGTCAGAATGATTAGGCTCCATATGCTAAGTAGATCCACAGCAGTGTGGTTCCTCTAGAACAGCTAACTGCAGCAACAAAGATAATCTCAACTTTAAACTTTCAGAGGTACCATATGTGGAGCAAATGTAGCTAAAATGTAGGCTACATACAGTCATGACCTACCCTTCTATGTTATTCTTCTGTTAGGACACATATACCGGCATGTGAAGTGAAACAGGCCTTGGAGGCAGTTGTCCAGGTTAGAACCTAATACAGTGGTATTTTCATGTTTTCCTGCCAAAAGCAACCCTGCAGCTGTGTAATGCCTCTGTGTGTGTGTGTGTGTGTGTGTGTGTGTGTGTGTGTGTGTGTGTGTGTGTGTAATCAAAGGTACTGTAACACTGTGACTTTAGCCTTGGGGCCAAGTGAAAAGTAAGCATGGTGCACCTGCAGGAAGTTAGATAGGCAAGAGGCTCAAGGAATCTGAAGACTTTAGCTTCAGACAAGGAGAGATGCACTGTAGCAATGACAGAAGATCCAGTCTGGCAATGAGCACACACTTGTCAGAGAATGCATGCTCCTTATTTGCTTCTCAAAATCTGCAAAGCCATCACTGACCATCAGGCATAGCAAAAGATAAAAGTTATATTTGATATTGAAATATCTAAATATATGACTTAGTATAGTTCATCCTCTCAAATCAATATTACAGCTGAGAGAGAAGAGAAAGGACTCAATTATCTATACATGAAAAAAGCCAATTGCCTTATTGCTAAACCTTACAACTGATAGACCCACAGGTTCAAGTTACACACACCAGTAACGCCACTTAAGATAAAACTAAAGACCTTCCCACAAGAATGCTCACTAAGAATTCACCGCTGAGTGTTGGAGTTTCAGCAGTAGAGACAGATGCACTAAACATATAAGCAACAAGCACAGCAACGACAATAACAATAACATAGTAAAGACGTCTCACCGTTTCTCCTGATGTTGCCCCTCATCATTTTGGCGGCGGAGAGCTGAGCCCTTCCGACCCAGTTTGTAGTTCCCAACAATAAAACCATCCACATCTGGAAAAGCACCGGTCCACTCATGGTGTCAGCAAACTGCTACACGCTTTAAAAAAAACTTAGTAAATGCTTCTTTCACCTTTTAACAAACTAACAAAACTAACTTTCCATCCAGCTGCCTCAAGCTTTCATTGTTTCTCTTCTCTAACCGTAAATGAGAGCCACTTCTTAACTTCTGTGCCCGACGCCTGGCGCACGCGATGTCCCGTCTTGTGCCAAAGTGCCCAAACATCCGTGTATCTGCCTTCTTCCTAAAGTTAAGCCCCGCATACACCGAGAGCAAAACTCAGCGCAGGTGGAGGATATTATAGCTGCGTTCACGGTCAGACATGAGCTTATAGGCGCCGAACTTCTTATCTCTGTGAAGCCAAAATATTCTGCTCAGTCACAGAGAAATGTCCCGCATAGTTTATCACTTTTTGTCTGACGCTTCCGCGCCATGAAAGTCAGTGCGTCCCACTTTGCTAACGGAGTTGTGCGCGCTCACGATGTGTGTGCGTGTCTGTCTGTGGAATATGGGTGTGTAGGTGAGTGAGATGCTGGGACGGGAGGTCAGAGAAGGGGAAGATAAAGTCTAGTCAAAAGATTTTACATTCCAGTACCTTTTACTTAGCTGTCTGTCTGTCATCGTAATACTTTATATTAGTTGTCAAACTTTTTCTTTTAAAGTGAAATTAGGAAATGCACCAAAATGGAACATTTCTGCAGGAAACCCTCAGAGTAGACAGTACAGGGTGGGTCATCAGCCGGGAACAGCAGAGGAAACATACCAGAAGCCAACTCAAGAGAGGGAAGTCTCTTGAAGGAGCTCCTCAGTGGTAGGCAGAGAGCTTGGGAAACAGCTGACAGCAGTTCACTTGGATTCTTACTGACAGAGGGGAGGATATTTCTTACTAATTATTGTTTACTGCATGTGTAAATGCATTGTTTGTCAGACAACTTAAGGTTGTTTGTTCTATGTGTAATGTGATAATTACAGTATATTAGATATTTTAAAAATGAAATTGACTATAAATGACAGCCTTTTTGTGCCTGTTTCATCTGATCTTTCCGTCAGAACGGTTCACTGGTTAAAATAAGCTGTCACAACTCATCTATCACAAGGCAGATTACATGATTGCACTTGTTAAGGAATAAGTAATCTGGGACATGGTTTGCTGGGAATCGCTCAATAGGCAGCTTTGTGTAAGCTAAAGGCAGACCATATCAGGCAGGCATTATGTTTGAAGTAATTTTAGTAAGTAAATGTCAGTGTGATTTATCCACAGTTGTAAAATGTCAAGATGTTATATGCTGTGTTTGCAGCAAAACAAAGCAGTGGCTTCAACATTTCCACTGAGTTTATAAATCTGTTTCTGACCAGACTAATTTCCCTCAAGGCACAGGAGTGGGTTTATTCACTGCCTCTCTCAGCATTTGTCACTTTCTCACTCCCTCCCTCATCAGACACTCACTGTCAGCACCACTTCTTCACTTTCATTCCTTGTCCATGCTTAGCATCACATATACTTCTAAGGGTTTAAAGGATGAACTTGCCAACTTGAGTTTTCTGCTGACTAAACACATTGCCTTCCCATTATCCAGCAACTGGCTAATGAGTAACGCAGCACCTTTAAAACTTAGAACCATTTAGGGAATGATATATGTTATTAATAGAGAGAGGAATTAATTCAAATTAAATGCTATTAGGCTACCCTGCTGAGCTTCAAAGGTGTACAGTATACACCCGGTTGGATGGATTGTTAAGTAAATGCAAAGACCACTGGCAGGCATGTGCAGCATGCTTACACACATGCACACTGACACACATTCACATTTGAATCATCTTTTATGCAACAAAAACATAAACTGACAAGAATGTACTAATAGGGAATTGTAACACTATCTGGACCTCAACATGAGCAGTAATTTTACAAATGAAGAAAATCGGTCATTAATTCATGATGTGACATCACAGCAGCCACAGTGCTGTAATGGATTTACCTTGTTCCTGTGATAAAGCTGTGTAAGCTGAGCGCCTACTGCAGACATGACATTCTACATTAACACATGCAACACTGAGGCACAAACATGCTGCAGTCACATTAAACGTGGCCCCTTATCTTGGCGGGTGCAACACTTTGAATGGCTACATCGTTCAATAGTGAGATTGTCTTGACCGGTACTCCTGGGTGGTGTGGATGATACCAGTCTCGTACAAATCTGTGGAACAGATGTTGGATATTGACCCACTTGGCCACTTTATAGTTTTCATGTTTTTCTTCTTTAAAAAGTCTTGTGTGGTTTTTGCAGTGTCATGTTGGAGAAGTCTCCTCCTGCCAACTTTTCATTCATGTCATGTTCCCTACA